AGTATCCACGATTGAGCTCAGTCAAGAATCCTTCTTTTTCTGTAATTAGTTGGCCTAATTGCTTCTGGGTTCCGCCTGAAATAAATGGGAAGGCATTCTTGCTGCTACAAGCAGAAGCTGAGGAAAGGCCTTTGGTCTCCTGAGGAAGACGAGAAGCTCTTGAACCACATTCATAAGTATGGCCATGGATGCTGGAGCTCTGTTCCTAAACAAGCTGGTGATCATATAACATAGCAAAGCATCAATCTTTTTCTTCCTTTATTTGGGTTTTTTACCCCCCTTCCTGAAACCATGAATGTATGCTGGGCATGTCAGAATTTTAAGGATTATTATGTGAAATCATCTCATTTCAGGTTTACAGAGATGTGGAAAAAGTTGCAGGCTAAGGTGGATTAATTACCTGAGGCCTGACCTCAAGCGGGGCACATTTTCACAGGAAGAGGAAGACCTCATAATTGAACTCCATGCAACCCTGGGCAACAGGTACTACCCTCACCTCTACCCTCAATTTATCTTTGTTGTCCGAGTAATTAATTTTAATCACAAAGAGTCTCGGGAGACAGGTGGTCCCAAATTGCAGCCCAGTTGCCAGGAAGAACAGATAACGAGATCAAGAACTTCTGGAATTCGAGCATCAAGAAGAGGCTAAAGCAGAGGGGTATTGACCACAATACCCACAAGCCCATTATCTCCGAGAGTGAAGAAGACAAAGCGACCACCATCAGCAACGTGACTTGTGATTATGACGAGCTCAACATCTTCAGCCCAAACTCTGGAACTCCTGCAGCCTACGACGTGCTGCAACCTCATTTTCCCTTCGACTCCAGGAACTCGTCATTGCTATCTAGAGAACTATTTATCAACCAAACCCTCTCAACAAACCATGAGAATTCCTCAAGTTGGCAATTGCCCAATAACCCAACCGGTTTTTCATTTCCATTTTCTCAGTTGAGTTACCCTGAATCAGCCAATCCAATTCTTGGCATGAATTCTGAATTCAATTGCAACACAATATCCACAGTGATTCCTTCGGCTTCGAGATCATTCCCTTCAACAATGAACAATCTGAAGCCCGCGATTTATGAAAATACTGCTATTGATACCAGCCAATTCTGGGGTTCTGCAAGTGTGAACAGCAGCAAATTCGCTGGAGAAAGGGGTGCCGGAATCGACTTTAAGAGAAATGACTCCATCTTTGAAGGCAATTCATTTTCAGTTTCAGATATTATGCAGGATAAAGGAACTCAGGAGCCTGCGGACTCCAAGTGGTCTGAGTACTTGGATGGCTCTTGTCCAGTATCTGCAGCTCTTCAGAACCAAACTGAACCTCTGTATGGTTTCTGAGGAGGTGGCTTGATCCTAACTTCGTGTAAATTTTCCCAATGAATAAATGAGTGAACAATGTAAATGACGAGCATATCAAAGAGTGCTTGCTAGTGTATTAAGTATGATCAGTAACAAATGTGGAGTGGTGGGTGTAAGATTGGTCCACTGTGAGCTATTGAATAGTCTGAGTATACTTGTAAGTTTGAATTTCCTTTATCAATATTCTCTACACGGATTTGGTGTGTTTTTTTTTAACTGCTCCTGTGTATGTCTCCTATTCACACAAGGATAGATGTAGGTTCTCGCGCAACGACTATAAACAGTAAAGCCTCCGTCCCAGACTTTTGGAATCAGTTGTATGAGTCACGTTCTTTCGTTCCGTTTTTATTTAAGTTAATCACCATCATACATTTCTTAATTGCTTCTAACCGAGTTCTCTTGTATCTATCTCAAGCCCTTGCTTCATTAACTATAACCTTACCATATCTCAAAATGGGTATGTTTGTGGCTTTTATTGTATATGGTCAAACCATCTCAATTGATTTTCTCCAATTTTATTCTCAAACAAATAGACTTATTTCTTAGGGAAATTTGTGTCAATGTCCCAAAAACACAAACTTCATGTGCTTCAGCCCCTCCATTTTTTCTCATGTGGTTCAGCTCCAAAAGCAAAAACTCTATGTTCTGCAGCCCTTCTTTAATAATTATTACATGCCAACTAAGCAGAGAGAAAATAAAAAGTAAAAAACCCCAAAATATCATTATCTCTTATATTCTTTCATGTTAAGTCTAAAAGCAAATGGAATTAGACTTAACATAAAAGTCAATTTCGTGTTAAGTCTAATTCAGTTCATGTTAAGTCTAATTTATTTTTTTAAGTCTAATTTAAATCATGTTATGTCTAATTCAACTTGTTTTAAGTCTAATTTAATTCATGTTAAGTCTAATTCAACTTTTTTTAAGTCTAATTTCATGTTAACTCTAATTTAATTCATATTAAGTCTAATTTAATTCATTTTAAGTCTAATTTAAATCATGTTATGTCTAATTCAACTTGTTTTAAGTCTAATTTAATTGGACTTAACATGAAATTAGATTTAAAAAATTTTGAATTAGACTTAACATGATTTAAATTAGACTTAAAAGGAATTTAACATAATTAAAATTAGACTAAAATAAGTTAAAATAGACTTAACATGATTCATGTTAAGTTTAATTCAATTTATTTTTTAGACTTAAAATAAGTTAAATTAGACATAACATGGTATAAATCAGACTTAAAATGAATTAAATTAGACTTAACATAAATTAAATTGGACTTAACATGAACAATATTGGACTTAACATGAATCAGATTAGACTTAATATAAAATTAGACTTAAAACGATTGAAATTAGACTTAAAATGATTTGAACTGGACTTAACACGAACCAAACTGGAGTTAACACGGATCAAACTGGACTTAACATGAAGCTAGACTTAACATGAACCAAACTGGATTTAACAAGAACCAAACTGGACTTAACATGAAATTAGACTTAACATGAACCAAAACTGGACTTAACATGATATACTGGACTTAACATAAAACTAGACTTAACATGAACCAAAACTGTACTTAACATGAAATTAGACTTAACATAAACCAAACTAAACTTAACATGAAACTAGACTTAACATGATAAACTGGACTTAACATGAAACTAGACTTAACATGAACCAAACTGGACTTAAAAATGTTCGGTTCATGTTAAGTCTAATTTCATATTAAGTCCAGTTTGGTTCATATTAAGTCTAATTTCATGTTAACTCTGGTTTTGGTTCATGTTAAGTCTAGTTTAATGTTAATTCCAGTTTGAGGCTCATGTTAAGTCCAGTTTTGGTTCATGTTAAGTCTAGTTTCATGTTAAGTCCAATTTGATTCGTGTTAAGTCCAGTTTGGTTCGTGTTAAGTCCAGTTTGGTTCGTGTTAAGTCCAGTTTAAATTATTTTAAGTCTAATTTCATATTAAGTCCAATTTGATTCATGTTAAGTCTAATTTAATTCATGTTAAATCTAATTTAACTTTTTTAAGTCTAATTTTATGTTAAGTCTAATTAAATTAAACTTAAAACAAGTTGAATTAGACATAACATGATTTAAATTAGAATTAAAAGGAATTAAATTAGATTTAATATGAATTAAATTAGACTTAACATGAAATTAGACTTAAAACAAGTTGAATTAGACTTAACATGAATTGAATTTGACTTGAAACAAGTTGAATTAGACATAACATGATTTAAATTAGACTTAAAAGGAATTAAATTAGACTTAACATGAACCGAATTAAACTTAAAATGAAATAGACTTTCATGTAAGTCTAATTCAACATACTTTTAGACTTAACAAGAAAGAATAAAGGTGATAAGAGCATTTTGGGTTTTTTTTTCTTTTTTTTCTTTCTTTATGCTTAGTTGTCATGTAATAGTTGCTAAAGAAATGCTGTAGAACATAGTGTCCTATTTTAAGGGTTGAACCATATGGAAATAGTCAAAGGGGCTGTAGCACATTAAGATTTTGCTTTTAGGACCTTGACACAATTTTTCCTATTTCTTATCATTTTTCTCAGCCAAGCAATATTATTACTTAATTTTCATCTCTCTTTTTTCCCCTAGTTGCTATGATACTGCAAGTTGTCCGTGCAATGCGCTCAATCCGTGTCATGCTTGTATTATACCTTAATTTATAAACGTCCTCATCTCTGTTTCTCGAAAGAGAAGGTGGATTTGGAGTCTTTGACCATCATATTTCATGTAAGAGAAGCTAATAAAATAAAGGGAAACCACCATAACGCATGGGAGAATTATTATTATTATTATTTTCTTTACTAAATGCACTGTTTTATTACCAGCTATGATTAGTGCATGCCCATGATCCGTACCTCTGACCTCTCATTAAATGTTTCCATTATCCTGTTTTATGACGTATACCCACTTTTCGAAGATAATACTCGTTGTGCTCCGGTTAGGCTGTTAGCCCTAGACTATTGAATTTTCAGCTCAATCAATCACCTATTATGTTGTTCTCATGTCATTTGAGTTTTTCGCATTGCAAGTTGGCCCCCCTCCTTTTTGTCACTCTTTAAGTTAGCTCCATTTTCTATTTATTTATGTTTTCTATTTTTCATTTCTTTATATCATTTGAAACGATTCATTTCTTTATCGATTAGGTACCCGGTTTTAACTATCTAATTAATATTATACCATCTCAAAATCTCCGCCATCGAACCAAAACATCAATTTATAATAAAGTGGAGGATTGATATTTCATTTATCTTAACACTATTAGCTCAAATGTGACTGCCGGAACATTTGGATACATGCATGCTTTAATCTAACAAGGAGTATAAAACCTTTTGATACGTACTTTTAACATGCTAATCT